GTTTTCAATGCATTCTAGGTCAATGGAGACTTGACCTACAGACTTTTCGATCTGCAGCCACCGTTCCAATATGGATTAATTCCGTAAGTTGAGGGTCCACTGTACCATGTTTCCCTGAAAATAAGACAGGGCCTTATATAAATTCTTCTTCCAAAAAAACACATTATGGCTTATTTTCAGGGATGTTTTATTTTTTTCATGTACAACAATCTTGTTGTTTAGTCGTTAAGTCGTGTCCGACTCTTCGTGACCCCATCGACCAGAGCATGCCAGGCCCCCCTGTCTTCCACTGCCTCCTGAAGTGTGGGTGATCACAGAACAAAGGAAAGATACTAATTGCCTTAGAACAAAAGAGTTCATAGCACGAATGTATAAACCAGCGGAGCTTACAGGCAATGCCCTGGGAGCTTTTTATTGAATTAGCATGAGTTACATACTGTAGTATGTTCTTAGAATTCAGATAGGATACTAGTTACCTAATTGTATCTAGGATTGGCTGAAATAACTCTTTGATCTTATGTCTACCTCTAAGCGAAAGGGCAGAATAAGGGGCTACCCCGCCTGCTGGCAGTTGCCGCTTCCTGCCAGGAGTGCGTGCACATCACTGGAACAGAATCCAGCTACAACCTTTAAGCAGAAGTTTCCCACACTGGAGTTTGGTCAAATTCATGTTGGTAGCTTCGATGACACTGTCCATCCATCTCGTCCTCTGTCGTCCCCTTCTCCTCTTGCCTTCACACTTTCCCAACATCAGGGGCTTTTCCAGGGAGTCTTCTTTTCTCATCAGATGGCCAGAGTATTGGAGCCTCAGCTTCAGGATCTGTCCTTCCAGTGAGCACTCAGGGTTGATTTCCTTCAAATTGGATAGGTTTGTTCTCCTTGCAGTCCAAGGGACTCTCAAGAGCCTCCTCCAGCACCACAATTCAAAAGCATCAATTCTTTGGCAGTCAGCTTTCTTTATGGTCCAGCTCTCACTTCCATACATCGCTACTGGAAAAACCATAGCTTTGACTATGCGGAGCTTTTGTTTTGCTGACTGTATGTAACCCCTTGAGAGGTAAACGCTAGTTATCTCCATGTTCAAAATTATTCCCCAGTATTTGTTTGTGCACTCCAGCAATGAAAGGCTTTCAAATCAATACAGAAAAGTCATATAAAAATAGAATTGCCCCCCCGTCAGATAAAAATTCATCACATCAGCTCAAATGTTTTAGCTATCAGTCTTGTGTTCAATGTATTCGCGAAAGCTTTCACGGCCGGGATCTAATGGTTGTTGTGGGTTTTTCGGGCTCTTTGGCCATGTTCTGAAGGTTGTTCAGAGGACAGTGCTGTCCTCTGAAGATGCCGGCCACAAAGACTGGCAAAACGTTAGGAAGAACAACCTGCAGAACAAAGAGCCCGAAAAACTCACAACAACCAGTCTTGTGTTCCTCTTTTGGAATGATGACTGATTCTGACTTCGGCAGAAACCTTTAAGAAGACTGTGAAAATGTGCACATTTCAAGCCTCCCAACATTACATGTCCTATAAAATCAGCATTGAAATAATCATTAAGCAAAGAGTGCAGGCTTGTGATTTGTAGCGTCTTCCATTGCTACTAGGTCTACGTAAACTCTACACCTAATGAGTTTAGAGAAATAAATATTGGACTGCATTTTGAACTTTTATCACTCTCCTCCTTATTTGTGTGTCAATGCAGTTGCAATACTGGAGATGAGCTAGAGCATATTTTCTGGATTCATTTCAATCGGGTTTCAGGCCTGGTTTTGGTACAGAGACTGCCTTGGTCGCCCTGTATAATGACCTTTGCCGGGAGAGAGAAGGGGGAGTGTGACCCTGTTGATACTCCTGGACCTCTCAGCGGCTTTCGACACCATCGGCCATGGTGTCCTTCTGGATAGGCTGGCTGGGTTGGGAGTTGGGGGCACCACTTTACCCTGGTTCCACTCCTTCCTGGCTGACCGTGTCCAGATGGTGGTGCTGGGGGACAGTTGCTCCGTCCCATGGTGTTTATGTCATGGGTAACTTGATCCTCAGGGCTCAATACTGTCCCTCATGCTGTTTAACATCTACATGAAGCCACTGGGAGAGGTCATCAAGAGGTTTGGGCTGAGGAGTCAGCAATATGCTGACGATAGTCAGCTCTACCTCTCATTTTCCACCAATCCAGGTGAGGCAGTTTCTGTGCTGAACTCGTGTCTGGACCTGATAACGGACTGGAAGAGGGTTAATACATTGAAACTCAATCCAGACAAGACGGAAGTGCTGTTAGTGGGTGCTTTGTCGGATAGGCTGGACGGCCATTTCCCTACCCTGAATGGGGTTGCACTCCCCCAGGGTCCGCAGTCTGGGGGACATTTTGGCACAAGGTCAAAACCTTCCTATTCCAGAAGGCTTTTAATTGAAATAATATCAACTGTGGGTCCTGATGGCAATTTTTAGAGTATATATTTTAATTGTATTTTAATAGTTTTATCTTTTTTTACTGTAGTTAAATTGCTGTTAAGCCGCCCAGAGACCTTTGGGTAGTGTGGGCGGCATATAAGTAAAAAATAAAAAATAAAAATAAAAATGGGGGGGGGGAACATGGTACAGTCATGCCATCTTCTGGTTGAATAGGGCCTGAAGCCTGGCAACCCTATGCAGGCCACAGAAGGCCTTGGGCCAGGATGTTAGTGCTATATTTGGGTTTTCTGAGACCTCCTGCTTTCTTTCAACAGAGACACAGAATCCTGTGGCCAGGAAGCCTGCACAGACCCCATTTGGCTAGGTCTCCAGGGTGGTTGGTTGGTTGATTGCAAAGGGGCAGGGGCTCCCCGCTAAAGAATTTTAAATCTTCTGCAAACCTTTTGCTTGAACATATTGATAGCTCTTATCTTTCAGTGACCCTCTTTTACCTACAGATCTGTTGGCACTTGCCAGCTCAGTTTGTTGC